CAGATCATTTTGAACATAGAAAACGAGCTGAGGAACATAATTTTCTGGAATAAAACGAGAATCCACCTACCAGTTTTCGGGGTTCTTAAACTTCCCATGCCATGAAATAGAAATAAAATAAATACATATCTATGGTATTCCTCGTTGTATAGATTGTAGCAAAGAACACTTGTATTGTATTTGTATTTTGTATATTGTATTACTTGTATTGTCTTCTCTTTTGGCATTATCCTGAGGGTATTAGAAAAATCCGGCAACTTAATTCTTTGCCCAGCACACAAATCGCAGCCATCAGCAGCTAAATCGAAATACAAGGAATTTTGAAATGAAAACATGGCTTACTTTCACTCACTCTCACTCGAATTTCTTCTCGCCATCGCTTTGCTGCCTTTCTTTTGTCTTGTTCTTGTCCAATTTTTATGTTCAGTTATTGTTGGGACGTTCCTTTGTTGTTGCTTAAAAATCATTTTGACATTTTATTTACAAAACGCATTTGCCGGAAATTGGCATAGAACACGATAATAAAGCCGAAACGCGCAGACAACAGAGACAAGCAGCAGAAGAAAAAAAAAACAAATCGAAAAGAAGGGCAACGCCAATAAAAAGAGGCGCGAAAGTGGAAAAGGATGTACAAGAGCCAGTAGGCTGGCATTGACAAGTGCACGGAAGAAGATGGAATGGAGGCCGACTGCGAAGGACGAAGGCAGAAAATGTATGCCTCTAAGCAACTTAATGTAGCTCGAATATTTATTTATTATTATTATTTGTAATTTGTCTTTTCCCATCAGTGAGTAAACGCAAAGCACACATCCAACATTTTATTTATTTATCATATTCGAACACGAGGAACTGCAAGCCGTATACTTTGATTAAAACGAGCCAAGCCTGTTGAGTTTTCAAATTTTTTAATTAAATTCGACTGTGGGGTCCAACCGGTCATTTATAATTTAATCTCTAATAACTTGTTAACATCAATACGAAATTTTCTCCAGCTCAGTGCCTAAATGTGTATATTCTATTGACCAAGAAAATAGCTGTAATAAAATGTTTGAAAAACACAATTTTGTTAACAAATTCATATAACTCGGTTATTATACTTAAAGTGTACTGAATACCCAAGATTTTTGCATATAAAATGTTTATTTTTTATCATTACAATTAATGTAATAGATATTAAATAATTGTAATGCACGTAGCAGTGTAATTAATGAGCCCTCGCAATTGATAAGCTATTCTCTTTGTTACTTGAAATATTCGCACTTTTTCATGAACTAGCCACACTGTACATATGTACATACATACATACTGCTATACTCCAATGCCAATGCATCTCTCTTGAATGCCAATAAACAGTTCTGCCTAGAACTTTTAATTAATTTTCACAAGAAGAGGTTGAATGTCGACAAAGAAATATCAATGAAATACCATGTATCTACATCCAAGGAAAAATTCATTAGAAGCCGCTCTTGTTCTGGGAAAATCAACATTTAAAATATAACACAAAGCAAGTCACATTTGTTTGAAAGAAGATTGACCTTTAACAGCAGTATGGTTTTAATAATAATATGAAATGCATAATATATTTTCAATACTGCAATGGCAATCGCATGTGTTTCAAAACCTGCATTGATAGTGAACTCATCTTTAAGGAGCACAAGACGACCTTTGCGAAAATTAAACACCAGTAGTAATGATATACAATGATAGACCAAACTCTCACATCAGCAATGCAGTCTTGGTACATACAATAAAAACATCAAATGCTAAAAGGCTATTTGGAAAAGCATCTGAATTAATGAAGCGAATTGAAAGAACAGGCAGCACACAAGGTCCTCCAAAAACCCAACAAGAGAAAGAAAAAAAAAAACGGGAAGAGAGCGAGACATTCAACATTGGCTCCGGGCTATTGCTTTGGCATGAACACATCATGGCTTGACATTTGAGCCTGTCACATCGATGCGTAAATCGAACAGTTGACATGCAAAACCGTGGGTCGAGCCTGTTGCATTGGTCGCGGCCTCTCACTATGATGCATTGAATCGGGATTTGCTCGGCGGCAAAAGCGATTGATATAATAGAGCAGTCAAGTGACAGAGCAGCAGTGAATGCGACATCCACATCAACAGAATCCACCAATAAATATGTGCGAGTACTCGTATGTTGGAATGTCAATCCGAGTGGGGACTGGACAAGGCAGCTGCAACAGCCTGCTTGTGTCTGGAGTTGCTCTCATCGTTGCGCCATCATCATTGACAGCTTCAGCTCGCTGCTGGCTAGCCGCAAAGGTTGACAGCCAAGGCAGATGAGCTGCTGATGGCCTGAAAGTGCAATAACTAGCAACATGAAACAGCAGGCAACTTTAACTGGGCGTGGTCGTGGCCCTGCCTGCCTGTGGTTGACTTTTTGCCAGTCGACTCGAATATGAACTCATGCTGAAAATGCGTTATTCGTGGAAATAAAAAAGCCAAGAGAGAGTGAGAGAGAGAGAGGGGCAGGGAAAAGTTTACCACTTATTCACATATGTGGGAACTATTTGCTGGACGGAAAGAAAAAGCTGAGCAACAGAATGCGTGCCTTAATATGTCAATTACATTATTATACGAGTATACAATTAACCACAAATAAAATGTATTGTTGTGCTCAGCCGGAAAAATGCACTTAAGATAATAATATAATATCCTTTTGTCGATAAATGCACTTAAATGGACGCAATTAAAATGTTCGGTGTAGTGAAGAAATTATCTTCATATATGTATATAATTTCAAGTCATCTTTTATTATAGAAGAGTTTCTTATTTTTACGCTTTTGAATAATTACAAAATGATGATAATGACTGTAACTTAGTTTGTTTGGTTAGGAAAAAGTACAAGTGGGAAAAAGTATAATCAAATGGTATGCAAACCAATAGAATTTATTGTGCAGCTTCCAATAGAAAACTACTCGGCACTCCATTGGCCATCATATTTCGTAGTCTCATGCAACCAGCAGAAATATTTAATATATTTCAAACAAGTTTAAGAACTTGGACGTATTATCAGTTATAGAGTATTTTCGGCAGGATAGCTAGAAAGCATTACAAACAACGAATATTGAAGATGCCTATTTTATAAATCAATTTACTTACACATTTCAATAAAAGATTGTGCAGGCGGGGCGTTGTTTAATTACAAAATGTAATTAAATTACATTTACAATAGTATAACTCAAATGCATATACTTTTATCAATAGATAAAGAAAGCACAGCAGCTCGCCAGCTTAAGCAAATTGATGTTGAAGTTGAGTTGAGTAAATGCGTCCCGCAGGGTACGGTAGGAATGAATTGTTTACCTTTCTCTTAGCTGTTGCGAATGAAATATAAAATAATTTGATAGCTGGTAGTGGCGGCTGCTCTAAGCGCTAACAGTTTGAAATGTTGAATTTTGTTTGTATACATGGAAGGAAAAACTTGAACTTCTCATTCCTCAGTTCATAAAAGGAATTTCTAATGCAATATATTTTACACAGCTTTGATGCCTAATTTAGGCTTTGGAAGTGGCACTCGTTACGCGAAATTGTAACGGTGAAGGAAAAAAAAGCTACAGGTAGCTCAAGCAAATGACGGGCAGCTAATGTTTGACTATCAATCAATGAGTCAATCTGTCAGAGCAGCAGTCAGCGCAGCAACTAGCTGGTCAATCAATCAATAATGACCAAGCTAGGCAGCGGCAGTGGCAGCGACAGCGGCAACGGTGGCCTTAACTGCTCTTTTAGATGAGCGCGCGTGGGGCTCTTGGCCCTAAAAGTCCGGCCGAATTTGTGCAACAATCAATAACAATGGCAGCGGCCGTGATGAGAGGAGTTTGGCGTGCACAGTGAAGCTTATTAGCATAGGCCGAGGGAGACATCATGGAAGAGAACTTAAACTTTTTAAAAATGTTGCCTACTTTTTTGGGCTGTATTTCGATTAGCGAGCTCAGAACGCTTTCGCTTTTATGTTACTGCAGATTAAAGCCAGAAATGTATAATAAAGCAACTTTTTAGCCATAAGTTAGCTTTTACTTTGCGTATAAGAAAACTTACAATATCGAAATAAAACTCATAACCAAATAGCTAATACGCCTTAGATCTAAGAAGAAGAATGGGGGAAATTTGTTCAAAAACATATGTTTTGCGTACAAAATTTGATGCTTCTAGCTCGTATAGTCTCTGAGATGTAGGTGTTCATTTGAACGGACGCACAGAAGGAGAGACATGTTTTGTGCGGGTGTTTTACGGCGCTGAGTATGTCCCTAAACTTGTGATTAAATACAGAGGCATGTTCTCTACAAACTCGCAACTGAGCCATAATATAATGGGCTGCATTTTTGTACACCTACAAGTCTCTCTTGCCTTGAATGATTTAAAATGAAGCTGAACTTTTATCTTGTTGGCGGCAACTTCAAATTTTCATTCTTGTAAATTGGGGCGCTTGAGGCGCAACTCACTTGCCCACTCACACTCTCACACACGCATACCTAGAGACAAGTCAGCTTCAATCAGTGCATGGCCTGCGGCTTTTGCAACAGCAGCTTCCTTGCATTTCGCTTTTATCTTAACAAAGTTCCTTGGCTCCCATGTAAAACCTCAAGTATTAAGAAACTTTTCAAATTTGCTTATGCCCTGAAAAAAAAAAAAAAACAACCGAAAATAAGAAATAAAAGCGCGAAGAAGCAGAAGAATAAGAAGGAACAGCATTATCTCATTTGTATTGAAAATGTTCACTCAAAGGTTTAACTGCAATTCCCGTGCGGACACGGACACGGACGCTTTCTCCTTATCCTCATCTCGCCATCCCCTGCCCCTTATCTCCACACTAACCCACATCGCTCACCTGCCTGCCCATTCAGCAGTGTAAATTGTTATTTTTACAACGAAATAAATGTGTTACAAATTTACACACGTACGAATGAAAAAAAAAAGACTCGTCAATTTCTTCTTCGACGCTGTCTCTCTGGCGCATCCGCTGAAAATGCTTTTAATTTATTTGCGTTCGGCGCCGCCATCGCCGCCATCACACTGCTTATCTATTGCCATTTGCTGCGGTTGCTTCAACGACTGCTCCATCGTTGTACCTGCTGCCAGTTGCCAACTGCCAGTTGCCAGTTGCCAGTCGGAGACTGTGGCCTGTGGACTGTGGACCGTGGACTGAGGACCGTGGACTGGCTCGCAGTGCAATCAATTTACATGCGTCGTCATCTTCTGGTTGCTACTTCTACATCAAAATGCCAAGCAAACAATTTTCCAGCGCTTAGGGCTTTTGGCTTCACTTCGCCGCCGACTGTGGGATCTTTGCCAAAAAAAAATAAATAAAAAAAAGAAAAACACACACTCGCAAATCGAAATTGTTTTCTTCAGCTATGACAAAGCTACATACCCTTTTCCCTTAATGGATTCTCTATTCGCTTACTGATCATAGCTCGTAGCTACTCCTCATCTCCTCTTTTCATCTCTCATTTCTTATCGGCCAACTTCTTAATAAACCGATTGTAAGTGGGACATTACATTTGACAATAATATCTTATTAAAGACCAAAGGAGTTAGCTTGGTCCGTTTTTGAATTTGAATATGAATTTGAATTTAATTAAATGTGAGCTTATCTTTGTTTCAATTGGCTCGTATTCACATAAAGATAAAGAGGAGTTATGCCTTCGAATTGTAAATGCAGCGTCCATAGATAATGAAAGAACTAGAGAAATATTGATTTATAATCATATTCAAAAGGAAACGTGTTTTAGTTAAGATTGAATGCAAATTTCAACTGTATTTCAAAATTAGAATAATACTACAAGAAATTGTTTCGGTCAATAGCTTTTTTTGGAGTTGTGTCTTGAAAGAGTACTTTTAAAATAAATTGAAATTAATATTTTGTGTGCTGGCTCAACTGGTTATATAAGATATGATACCTATTCTTTCTTGAATAAAATCATTCGGTTTTTTTCTGTGACAACAGCTTTAGCCGGGGAGGAGAGTTCAGATATGTTATTACTATTATTAATATTAATAACAAATAATTTCAACATCTCTCATGCCGTCTTTCTCCGTCCCTGTAGTTCAGATATAATTTCTCTTTGATTTGCTTGCTGATTCATTTTTCCATTCCAAACTCTTACTTTCTAGGCTTACTTCTACTCTTTGGGGCACATTTAAAGTACACTTAACATATCGGCGGCTGATTAAATAGTCTTTTATTAATTCACTTAAATTTTTTAGGGATTTCTTAAAAAAATATTGAGATGTACATATAATTTGAATGCTGCCACGTGCTGCTCACCTAAATGATAAAAACAATACACCCCTTTAATCCGGGGGAAGGGTATACAAAGAAGGCAAAAAAGTGCCTTCACAGCAGCGCAAAGAAGCCATAAAAATGACCAGCTGTACAGAGCGGCACGAGCAGCGGTAGCAACAACAACAACACCAACGGTAGCAACAATGAAACGCAACTGAAACGTGAAGGCAAGAGATTGAGCACAAGATTGAGTTGAGTAGAAATAAAAATTTATGGAGTGGTCATTTATCACGAGACTTCGTACTTGTATTTCACGTTCGTTGCTCATGTTGTTATTGCGACGCTTGCCACACCCCCAACCTCCTTTGGCCGCCTTTGAGGCTCTGCTATCTGTTTGCTGCAAAAAAAAGAAAGAAAGAAAGAAAGAGGAGAAGAGAAGTCCAAAACCGAAGCGCAAGGCGAGTGAAAGGTCCTTTGCTGTTTTAACTGTAAGCAGCCATAAAATGAGCAACAGCAGCACCAACAATAATAATAATAACGGGCACGCTGTTGCTGTTGCTGTTGCTGTAACTGTTACCGTTTGTTTCACTGTTTGGTTTATTTTTTATTTTGTTGTCCTGTCCATGCAGTTTGTTTTGTTTTTGCTGGTGTGTTTTTTTATGTATTTTGTATATTTGTTCACTGCTGGCTCCCGCTTTTCGAAAGTTAAAGCTTAAAATTTTAATGGAATTTCCTTGTCAAGCAAACCGCATATACTACAAACGCTTGCTTGTTTAAACACGCACACACATACGAGTACACATGCATATACACATATGTATGTATGTACACTCAGAGAAAACAGAGAAAAACAATACAAATTTGTTTTGTCTAAATGGTGCCAATTGTTGGATAGCTGCGACAATGGTGCAACACCCTAAATTTCAGTACGGACTTAATGTATCCAACACTCATTAATAGTTCGATTAAGATACGTTTCTTGTAGCTAGCGAAATTACTGATTATAACAGCACTAACTTAAATTTAATTCACGCCTAAGGTTTCCTTTTTGATTTCAACATTTTGACGCAATTTTTTCGATTTTGCTTTCAATATTTATCATATACATAGAAGTACAAGTAGGTATATATTGTATATATTTTTACTAGAAAGTCGATTCCCAAGATTTTATCTTATAAATATAAATATTGAAATAGATGGGAACACCCTGTCGGAGGAATAGTGTTTGTAACCGTGTCCTTAATACAGCGACTCGACCAACGTTTATGCTAAGACGTGGAGGGGATGATTAAAGTTTCTGCTCTGATTGGTTAAATCAAATCATTAAAAACCTAATTAGCGGTGTTTGGCATTATGTGCGTATTCTCTGCTACGACAATATTTTCCACCATTGATGATACTTTTGTATTATCAATGATGAATATACATGTACTAATAGGGTTATTAGTTATTAATTACACATGAATTCGATAGCAAACACTTATAACTTGTATGCTATGTTAATACTCTTGATTAGCTTACTTGGGAATTAAAGTCAATCAACTATTATCTCTATTTAACATTTAAGCCTTGATTCATGCTAATATATTAAAGAGACCTTAAGTAGGAAAATTGCTTCAAGATATTTTAAAACTAAATTTTAAAACGCTATTGTTTTTGCTAAGTGTATGTAATTGCATAGTGCTTTACTGGGCGTTGGCATTGTCGTCATCGCTGACAATGCTTCTGATAATCCACTAATGTAACTTTTTTTCACTAAGATTTGCGATTTCCCGCGCACAAATGTGCGTGAGCTTGCGTGTGTGTGCGTGTGGGTGTTTGCATTTACAGTCGCTCAGCATTCGAATGTTTAAACATTTTTACGCACTTCACGGCAATTCCCCATAGTGCCGACACGTCCAAAACCACCTTCATCGCCTTCAAATGAGACCCACGCAGCACACGTCGTATACGTTATATGTGCTTGTGGATGTGTGTGTGTGTGTGTGTGTGTGTCTGTGTGTGTGTGCGTAAAAATCTGTGGCCAACTGCTGTAACATGGCTATGAAATGGGTGCTGGGGGATGTGGAAGCGTGCGAAAAATCAACATTGACGTTTACGTTGACGTTAGCAAAAGGCTTAAGCCGAGTCATAAAATGCGACAAAATGTTTTATGTCCCCGACCAATGGAGTGGAGAGGGGCGTTGACATTCAAGCAGCTAAAGTACTTATGAAGTCTATAGAGAACAGCTACAAGTATAGACTTTTCAAAAGCCAAAGCGACCGGAGCACTTAAATTATGTCATGCACTATTGGAATTTATGTCTTTATTTAATTGTGTGATTAGCCATTCATTCGTTGTGGCTCTCTTAACGGCAGCAGTGCTTGGCTCTATCCTCGAAGGTCCTAGTGACCCGAGTAAGCAGTGGCAGTTTATGGCTAAGTGACATTTTACTAACACTCCTGAAGCTGTTACGTTTTGGAGTAAGCCGTTTATTCTAACAAATATAATCCGGCTCGAACGAGCTTTTGATTTCGAAAGATCAAGCTGTCTACTAAGGGCTCAAACAATGATAGTGAAAATGTATTTCACAGTTTGAAATATAACTGTGATTAGATGTGTGCTTCATGGCGACACTGAATGAACTGCCCTGCCACATCATTTTTTAAAGAAAAAGTATTTTTTTATCTGAAATATAAAAATATTTTGCTTCATAACATCACATTTTGTTTCCATAATAAGGAATTACATGAAAGGCTGCGATTGAATTGATTGTCCCATTCGGCTTACTCAGACAAGTCGTTCACTATTTTGCTTTAATTTGAAACAGTTGGCTACTAAATATAGTATTTAAGTATTTATGTTTGCATTTTATATAAATATCAATAAATTTCATTTTTTATCGGATTTAAAAGAACTTTCTTGACGTTTGTTATTGTTATTTATACATACTATACATACGTACTATTTAGTATGTAGAAGAATACAATTAATGTGAAATAAATAATTAAACAACTTTTAATTTTAAATAATTTCCATTCTTCATTATGCATTCATTTCTCAATTCCGTACTCTTATTTAAGCAAGAAAAACCTTCATCAAAAGTAATTTTGTTTTACATTAATAAAAAAAAATTAATAAACAGATTAGAAAGAAAAATCCAGACCTTTTCAGCGCATGATTGTACTCGATTTCAGCAAAAGTATAATCCCAATCAGAAGAAGTTGAGCAAATTAAGGTCTGTTTTTGTTATACTTATATTAATATTGCCAATCAAAATTCATCCACTTTTCTTTATAGATGATAAAAACATAATGGCCAAGAACTTGCGTAGCACTCTTTTTCATGTTCCTTATAAAATAAATCCCTTTTCCAGATTGCATTTTAACCTATCCTTAGTTTTCTCCACATATATCGCATGACAATAAACAAATTCTGTAATGTAAATATCTTTTAAAGTAGAACAAGAATTTGAAAACAGCATTTGCTCAACAGTGATGTCTCCCATTTAAATGGGATATCACGTTAATCAGAGACTTCTATATATGCCAAACTGAAGCTTCAATTTCTTCTGCCCCCTTCTCCTCCACAGCCTTGCTCTTTGGTAACATAATACTGGCAGCGAAAAAGCGCGGTGGCTTGCTTTAACTCACTTACCTAGCCACACATACGGGTACTCGCTTAGGTATAACACGTATAAATGTGTTAAATTAACAGGGTTTTCTCTCTTTTGTAACGGCGAGCTGGAAAAAAAGTAACCGAAATTGTGTAAAAAATACCCAAGTGCCTTCAAATGAAATTTATGAGCAAAATTTTTACACCGAACGTATGTTTTGTCATGTGACCATTTGTTGTCCGCACTTCGCCACGCTCGTGTTTGTTTGCCTAAACCCCCTCCCACCACCCACCGCCGTGGAAAACCCCTGACCAAACGAATTGGCTTTTTGTTCTATGAGTATTTTTATTTTATTTTATTTTATTTCATTTCATTTTTTTGTTCTGCCCCTGCTGCATGCTTTCGCGAAACTTTTATACATTTTTTGCTTCTGTCGCTCGCCAAAAAAAGAAGAACAACTAGGAAAAACGCTGCTGTCGTCATACATGTTAAAAATATGCACGTATAGATATAGTATGAATATATGCAGGAGTGTAAAGCGATTCCAAGGCAGCCAAATCGGATGTGTGGTTCGGTATGGCAAAATATGCTTTGATTTTATACACGAAAGTCCCTTGTATGCCCTATAATTGGTTCTCAAGGCACACAAATACTATCATGTCTGGTTTATTTCCACGTCTATGTGTTAAGAATGCTTTTCATCAGTAATAATGCCAATGCTGATGATAGATAAACATTAAAAAACAAAACATGAGCAAATTATTGCACAAAAAATGAAAATATGGATTAGAATCGTAGGTGGATCCAAAATAGCACAAAGAGGGAATTTTACATTTTTCAAATATAGTAAAATAATAAAACCTCCGTTGTGAATATAGTCCTCAGAAGCTGTGTTCAAACAACGATTTTCAAGATTTTAGAATTTTAGAATTAGAATTACAAGACTTAAAATGCTCTCTAATGTAGAATTTAAAGCATTCACTTTTACTGACGGCATTATGGTAGAATGAAGTAGAGCCAAATCAATCTATTGAAGCTATAGAAACATCAGATGCTGTCGATTTCTTCCAATTCTTTAGTAAACTTATTCATATGCTTTTTACAACAGAAAATTTTGAAACATGCGCATCCGAATCTTCATTCATCAAAATACTTAGTAAGCAGATAAAATTAAATTTAAACTAAAAAAAAAACTGATCAGTGAGGGTGCCAAATAATTACAAAATTGACTTATAAGTATTGTTGCAACTGTGTATGATTATCTGATCAGACAGTTTTCTGACTGCCTACATGAAGGGGAGGTAGACTAAAAAATATTTCAATAGAGTTGTCAAACAATTTGTCAACAATTGCTTAGCTTGGTGTACCGAAAAAGTGCTGTTGTACCGATATCGAATAAAATATTGGGCTGAGGAAAAAGATATAAATTTATATTCACTTAGTCAAGCTTAATAGATTAAAATTCATAAAGTATTGCCGCTTGGGATTATTGGAAATTACGGTTGCCCTCCAAAAACATAAAAAAGCGTCTGTCAATTCTTGATTGTCGATTAATTTCTGAGATAAATTGTATCAGCTGTGCAAATTTAATTTCCAATTTGTTTTTGAAAAAGGCGAATATGCAACTAAGGCGGCCGAAATTATAAACAATGGACCCGTATGTCCAATTTTTATTTCAATCGATTGGATTTCGTTCCTAAAATTTGGAATTGAGCCGTAGCCGAAAATGTTGGTAGAATCGTAGAAATAATTGAAGCAGACCGACATATCAGCAGCTCAAGAGGTTAAAATTTACCACAAAAGAGCTTAAACCCACTTATAAAAAGTTGGATTTAAAAAGAAGCTTGTCATTGCAAATAATAGAATGGATCGAGCTTACATATACAAGAAAGTGCTGTTTTGCTGTGTATTTGGTGGGACTGGAAGCGAATCATTCACAATGAGTTGCTTTTATCTGGTCACACTATGAGTTGGGACTCTCTACTGTCCAGAATTGGCAAAAAGCAAAAGGCATTCTTTTTCAATTCATTTCAAACGCTAGACCACACATATGTAACAATAATGTCACGGCGGAAACTCAGGGAACTTGGTCGGGAGGTCTTAATGCATTCGCTGTATAGTCCTTATCTGTAATCTAGTGATAATTACCCTTTTATGTCATTAATAATTAATCAAAATATTGTGGGTGATAAAAAAGTGCATTCAGTGGAGAGCTAGGAGTAGGCTAGGTGGATTGGCGGTTTTTCCAGCAGCAAGCACCAGAGCTTTTGGCGAGAAGAATTACAAGTATAAAGCTTCTCTAAAAATGGCAACATATCTGACCTAAATCGGACAACGCAGTGCCTTTTAAATAAAATCAAAGCAAAAATTGTGAATAAAATTTAAAATTTCGAGCTTTTACTTTTCTAGCCCAGAAGCAAATAATTGATAAGTGCATTCAGGTAATATTTTCCATTATTTTTAAATACAAATTTACATTTTGTGATTGTAAAGATTGTCGATTTTAAAAGTAAAGAAAGTATAAGAAATAATCCAGGTCCCCCTAAGCCCTAGGCAGGTCAAGTTTATTTTTTTATTCTGATACACCCCCCACTCCCCCGCAATTCGTGTTCTTGGAATTTTGAAATCAGTTTTAGTAGTTACTTCCAGTTAGTGCTTATGTGTCCGTATGCCAAGTTTCATCATGATAGGTGAATTCTGAAGAAAGTTATAGCCATAAATAAAATCGCTGCTCATGCTCTGCTTGCAGCGCTGCCTGCAGCTGTTGTTGTTGTTGCTTATATATACACGTATATAAACAAGCATAGACACGTGATGTAAATGTAAAACTGTACATAAACATGTCTTCTATGTATGTATTAAATAAATTTTCTTAATTAATTTAATAAATTAATTAAATTTTTTTAACAATTTATTCTTTTTAAATATTTTTGTTTTTAAATTTTTCTTTTTTGTGGAGAGCACAGGCTATTTTACTGTCGGGCTTGCTCGACTGTAGCGTTCTATCTTGCTTACATCATATTTCTGTGACATCTGACCAAACCATCTTTGGCTAAATTGGGGATGCAGCGATTTCTGTGGCACATCTAGATTTATAAAATGCTAAAATTCTAAAAATGAACCGTGTAGGAACAATGTCTTATTCGATAGTATAAAGAGGTTGTTCAACAAAATAAGAAAAAGTATAATATATATATCTAGTGATGGCAAGGTTAGTGGGACTTGACTATAGTTTTGCTGTTGATTTGTGTTTCCTTTCCCGCCATACAAGTGGTATGTCATAATCGTGATTCAAGTTTTCTGAGTTCTCTTTGATTTTCCTAAAAAAGTTGCTGCTCCCGCACCAGCAGCAGAAACATTGAAGATTTGGCCCGACATTCTGGGACATCTACTCGTACAGCTTAGGGCATGTTATCTTGGGAATTTTGATTTTGATTTTGCTTACAATACGCGTGTGAATTTCTGAGTGTGTATGTGTGTGTACATGAGGGTGTGCGCTTCATTGATTTAATGGAAAAACTTTTTGGTCAATTTCGGGCAGAAAAAAAATAGTACAGCAACCAAACTACCAACTATCAAGTAACTGCCCAACCAAATCCCACTACCATGCTCTCTCATATACATATGTGCATATAAATAAATATATACAATTGTACATACTTATGTATGTAGATATGTGTGAGTGTGTGTGTGTTGCGGTCGCGAGGGAAGGGCGTCGGCATCGATATCGCCAGAATGGCTTGGCATAAAAAACATTGTTATTTTTGTTGCTGATTTTTGTTTTATTGTTGTTTTTTTGCTTTTACTGTTGTTGCTGTTTTTGTTGTTGTTAGTGTTGTTAGTGTTGTTGATGACCACCAGGAGCCAAGTCCATACGTTTTTCGAAGCTGTTTATAGTAATTTTCAATAGTTTTGCGGTGTTCATGTGAAAAATATGTTCCGCCTTTTTTCCCACATTTGTTGGCTCGCATAATTTTTGAAGCTGAGTTCCGTTATTGTTGTAGAGGCTACTGTTGTTGTTGTTATTGTTGTTGGTTCTTGTACTGCAAGTTATATGGCAGCTATGACAGTGATTCATTGTCATACGAGCATTGTTGTCCCGTTTTGTTTCGATGTTGTAGTTGTTGCTGTTGTTGCATTTTTTTTGATTTGGAAATAGACTGAAAACAAAGTTTGCAGAGACCGTTGATATGACCAATTGATATGGCATCGTGATGTGAGCTTGAGGGCAAACATGTATGTATGTATATCAACTAATAAATAAGAAAGTCAAAGTTTACTCTGAAAAGTTTAGGCATACTCTCGCACATTCAATTGCACTTCTTTGAGGTGTAAGTGATGGATCGACTTTGAAAGAGCCATACTATAGCCTGTATATCGAAGCTAAATTGACTTCGGTTTAATACAGATTTGAAAATAAGATTATAAATGCAAAAAGGGGGCCGTTGTTATCCTTACCCCTAGCATAATAAAAATGTGTTTTTTAATTATAAATCCCAAGACAATACATGAAAGGACAATTTCAGGGACTGTAATTATTATAAGTATTATTCTAATAATTACAAAATAATAATTATTTTTTAATTTTATTCATTCGCTCACAACATAATGATTAATATTGAGTTTTTGAAAAAGGCAGGGAAAATTACGGCTCCAGTACAATGTATAAGAATTAAAATTTTTAGATCATGCCGAAAATGAATAAATAATCAAAAAAAGAAGGATATTGCTAAATTCTTCGTGCTCTCACTATAAGTGAATGTTTTTTTCCTAAAAAAAATAATAATCATTATTTGCGGACCCTGGATTACAATATCTTATTTGTAGATAAATATAGTATAGTCCATATTCTCCATTGCCTATTTCGCTTGAGTGTTTTTTTTTTTGTCACTTCTATCATAAAGGATTTGGTTGTATTTTTGCATTTTTGTGTGTAATTCAGTGCTCTTCTTTTTTTTTTGTATCCGTAGGCTCCCCAATAAATACATATACAAATCGTAATTGCGTTGTTGATTATTATACCCTATATACGAAGGTTGAAAGGGTATCCTAGAAAATCGAAATGCCAAATGTACGAGTATGTAGGAGACTTCCTTTCATAGGTACCTAAATGATCAGGACGATGACATGAATTGATAAAGTATGAACTCCAAGAACTGTTGAACCGTAACTGCTAGGGACTCCAAACCAGGAGCAGAGACTTATAGCGGTGTCCGAAATAAATACGTTTTTGTAGGGATCGGACAACTTCGAAAGAGTTAAGTGCTTTCAAATAAGTTATCCAACCAATTACAATTAAATTTTTACTTTTTTTGCGGGTCTAGGATCGTGTCAGGATTATTTATAAGTTGGGATGAAGATGGTATCTTTAAGCTTATGATGAACATGTTCAGTGCTTTTGCTGTTTGATTTGTGGTCCTTAAAGAAGAAACATTAAATGGAGTGTGTATAAGATCTTCGGCCTAGACGCGAAACGCTTCAGTCAGAACAGATATATATTTATCCAAATATTGTGGCTATATCGGATCAATTGTGGATATAGCTTAAGGCGCATGCTAAGCACTGCCAGCTATGGAGAATATTCAAATGGAGCATTCGAGTGTGCTTCTCTTTTTTTTGTGGTGCGACATGCATTTGAAATTCTCGAACAAGACAAAGAGATGACAGTCAAGGTACAGGACAGGCAGGACTTCTTTCATCATTCTGGTCAAAAGCACAAAAAGCCAAATAAAGTCGGACAGCGGCAGAAGATCGAGTGCATGTCCTGTAATTAAGTTAAAACCGACGCGACTGCAAATGAAACGCTGTGTAAACTCAGAGTGGAAGCCGCAGACAAAGGGAGAGGCAGGACTGATGGCAGGCAGGCAGGCAGGCTATGTGGCAGTGTGGCAGACAATTGACGTTGTCGTTGTCGTTGACGTTATCGTCCTCTTTCGATACGACTTCGACTTCAACTTGTGGTCGTTGCGAGTCGCAGTATTTGTGCAATTTGTGCTACAAGCCGGCAAAGTGTTTTACTAGTCGCTGTCTGTGCAAGGAGGGAGGGCGGCAGAGATGTGGCAGGATGCGGCGCACTTTCTGCGTACAATGATGATGCCAATGACGATATTGTCATGTATCTCTGATGCTGTATTCTCTCTCTCATACACACACACACACACACACAGACACACAAATAGCGGTGCAAACAGACAAACAGCCAGATAGAAAGACTGACAAGCAGACGAAGAGGCACATAGAGCGAATTTTGCCAATTAAAGTTTGTTTTAATTAAACAACTTACTTACTTAGTTACCTACTTATTGTTGCAAGTAAAATGCAGTAGACTGCATCTTCCTGCACTGCTGGTGCGTCATCCTCGTCATCCTCGACATCCTCAGTCTCGTTATCCTCAACGTCATTCACTTTGGCAAACAGAAGCAGACAACTGCAGGTACGAAGTTGGGCATAGTTGGATCTAAAATTCTGTCTGCTACACAAGTTGCTTGTCTCACAACTGCCGCTGTGAAGACCTCAAATATTCAATCAGATCAGATAAAGCCAAGTAACATTTCCAATAGGCAGCACTAAAAGAAATCCCTCAATCATACAGCTGAAAATTCATTATAAGATTGGTAATTTCGGCAAATAGATCCCATTTCAATTCATCTCCTTTTGTGCCTAACATTTTTAAGTTCACTTGAATCGAATACGAATCAATCCCAAATGCAAAATCAAGGTAAACCCTTCTTTTTATTCTATGTTCTGTTAAAAAAATAAATAATAAAAATGTTTAATTAGTTTCTTTAACAAATCAAGCCTATGTTAATGTTTTCAAAACCAAGATTTCGCAGAGAGAAAAACCAACTTTTTACCTAACATACCTATTTTCACTGATGGCATTTTATTTTAGAACGAAATTCTTGTGTTTTTTAATAAAGATTTTAACTGTGATGGCAATTCTTGAAACAATGTGATTTAATTTTACGATTATTTTGAGTTATTTAATAAATACAAGAGATAAAATGTTGCATGTTGGATTTTTCTATCTTTGGAATTGTGGACAGTTTTGCTGGAAGTCTTTAGTGGGGAAAATGATATATACACTTTATTGGTTCACAGATGCTGGCTTTTACTTTTTTACGAATATTTAAAAAAAAACAATATACACGTTTCTTTCCATAAAAATCATTAAATTTTGTCACGAAAACTCAAGCAATTCACAAGAGCATTTGCTTCTGTTATCCAAGCAGCTTTAACAGCCGCAGCGACGCTTAACAGCGATTCAAATGTTAATTTAACAGTCTCAGTTTTTGGACAATAAGTATGTTGGGGAAAACCCAAATGAGTCGCATACATGATTGCTATTTAGTGCATATGCCTCACAAGTCATGTATGTATATACTACTCGTATGTACAAGTACAAAAAATGTTGTCCGCTCGACTTGATTATGTTCGATTTGTGTTTAATGTTATGTCCTGGTTGGATAACAATGTTATGTATGATTTCGTATGGGAATAAGTAGACGTTAACATTTAAATAATGTAATTCCATAACCTATGTATAGTATATGATATCACTTATCAAATAAGAGACATTTGACAACGCACGTGTTAAAAGAAGAAGCGGAAGATATGTAAGTATGTACGAGTATAGATTTCCGACTTACAGCAGTGTTCAAAGTGTTCTAAGTATTTGAAAATAAATTAAAAAGTGTAAGAAACTATTTGTGAAGAAATTATTAAGGTTCCCGTGACAAATCCTAGTAGTAAATAGTTAAAGTTCCTTCGCATAGATTTCATTCCATAAGAAATAAATATCCTGACTAAGGTAAGTCAGGAGATACAGCATTCGCAGTGCGCCATAAATGTAATTTTTGATGTCGAGTATTTTTGGTCATCAGAAACGCTTAGCAGGGCTTTTTCTGAAAATGTTTTTGTCTGGTTTTCTGGTCATACAGAACTGTAAATGGGCCAGATATGTACCACAGCCGAAGTCGAAAAGGAACTTTATAGTGCTTTTGAATATTGCTTGTGACTGGCACTGTAGTTTGGTTAGATTTGAATTTTCTCATAACAGACGCCTAGGCATCTGCTGATGTAGAATTGAAAGATGCCTCAGTTATATGAGAAGCGCATAGAAGGGCTTTAATAACTTGGTGGATTGCCACTACTGGAAATGCCTACGGCAGTCAGTGTAAACGGTTTTCAATGTTGCAGCTACCAAATCAACTTCTGTGTAGACACATGGACCACCAGACGGATGGATGGTCGCGCCGTGCGTCGACGTGCTGTGCTGCTCTGTGCCGTGCCGTGCCGAGCCGTGCCGTGCCGCGCTGGGCCGTGCTGGGCATGCAGTCAGGCACTCAGCACCAAATCAGTGTGCGTGTATTTGTATGTCTCAGTTCTGCTGTTGCTGGCTTGTTTGTTGTTTTTGCGCCTTTATACTTGCAGTCGTACAGTAGCAATGCCTGAAATCCTGTTGTGAACACACATACACACACTAACACAGACACACGCATTAATATCGCAGAATGCACAACACACACACACACACACATAGCGGCGACGGAGACAAGCGTTCGAGCTCTGTGCATGGTACGTGTCGCCACCGCATCCTCCTGTCCTGTTGCAACTCCTAAGTGCGGGTGCGTGGGTGCTCTCTGAGTGTGTGTGTGTGTGTGGGTGTGTGTGTTTGTGAGCCTAATTAAAATTCCGCATAGCATTTAATGCCGTTGATGAGAAAACGTGCCCAAGACAGCGGAAATATCCATTTAATTAAAATTTGAAAATAAACTACAAGTGCAAAAAAGTAAACTTCATACCAAAAATGCCAAACGAGTTACTTTTGAATGCAGAGACACACGCACACACGAACATATTTATGTATATATATATAAACATATATATGCCTGTGTGCCTATATGTGCTCAATAACGTGGCTCCTGACTACGAGTTTGTGTTAGAGAACTCTTCTAAAATATACTTTAAATTAGGTTTGATGAACAATATTTAGGTGCAGTCTGTAAAATAAAGAAATCTTTTTCAAAATGGCTTCGTCTTTACATCGGTAGTTCAATAAAAAAAAAACGTAATTCAAATTCTGAATAAATGCCAAGTCGAAAATAGAACCCGCAAAACAGATGAATAATTAATGACCTTGTTTTGCAGGAGTATTAACACAATTTCTTGAAATATGAAACATCTGTTTATACGTTCATTTGTTTATTTGTATTGCTGAATAATATTGTTTTTATTAAAAAGCGTGCAGATAAGAAATGACTCGCGAAACATTGATAGAAATTAAAATATTATTAATGTAAATTAGTTTTATAAAATTAGACCTTTAAATACGTAATTAAAACTGCTTGTTGAATGAAGCAAAGCGTTCTTGTGCTTCTGTGGGCCATGGGCAGGAATCATATTTATTTTATGTTTTACTTATTAAGTGTTTCTAAGGAATCATATTTATTTGTTGACTATAGATAGAAGCTGAGCAAAAATGTTCATGTATCTGCCTCTCATACTTTCTGGTTTTATTAATTTCAAGCGATAATGGGGTGTGCCATTCGTATTGGGACTTTCCATTTTATATTTTCTGTCGATTTGCTTACGAAGTGTGGCTTGCAAGTCCAGTTCCCCAATTGTTCACATATGCGAAAATGGAGGAGCTCTATAAGCACAGTTATACGCCATTGCATACAATAACATTCAACACCTCATGCATGAAATCTGAAAAACAATTTTAAAATTTAGTCTAAAATGAAATTTCAGGCTTCACAAATAATTGCATTGAAATATCATTTGCAATTGTTCCACAGAAAAGTGAAAACCAGAGCAGCTGTTGGGATTTTTAAGATTGCTCTTTGTTGGACAAATTCAAAATCGAGTTCACAAACATGAAACATTTCAAAAAATTCCTCAAAATATATTTTCCGTTTTAAATCAACATTTCTACAGATATATTTTTAATTTTCAGATACTTGTATATTGTTAATAAATACTGGTGTTTTACGGAAGATAGAACAGTTGGGCAAATCGGATTTGCATAATTTTTACGATTTACAAAAGAGATGATTGATTGATTGATTTTATTATCTATTTTATCAAAAAAAACTTTAGTTGACCGCGAAAAAAGATGCCCATTTGAATGTGGATTTGACCCAAAATCATCTTCTCGCCTACAATTTTCTTTACGATTATTTTAATTACATTTTTTTATACATACGTGTAGAGAGGACGCTTGCTTCGATCATAAGATGTAAGAAAGTTGTAGGAAAGATGTAATAAGAACATTAATATGTATATATATACAAATTAAAAGAGTTGAAATCCTTGAAGTAAAGGTTTTGGCAAATCATTTTGTATTTTGGTTAACGGCGATCTACGCAGCATAGTTCCTCTCTTACTGGATCAATTATATGATATTATTTGAATAATAAAGACCATAGTGAAATATTAAAGAGCCAACAATTCGTCTTGATCAGAATGTTAACTCCATTGAGTTTTCTGCACACTTAAGACATTTCAAGTAACCCTCTCGAGAGGTGGCCATCCAATTTAAAGCGCCATATGCATCCATCTAGTATGCCCTTCTACATGTGGGGTATTGCGTAAAAATAAATAAATACATACTACAATAAACTAAGTATGGAGATTGAAAAACTCACCCCATAATAGATTTCAACGCCTATTTTCGGTTGCATTGTCCTTTCACAGCTTATCTATTTATTTCCATATCGAAATCAGCAAAGAGAATTCATTGGGTTTTTTATGTTAAATTTGTATCATTTATTTGTATTTGTTTTGTTTTAAATACAATATTCATTAATAATAATTTCATTTATTGTATCTGTATAAGTTTTGTTTGTTTTTTTTTTTTTTAACTTGCCGTTGTGTGTGTGTGTGTGTGTGGCGTGTGTATTTATTTCGGATACGCTTTTTATGCTCCCTGCGGCCACAAATTGGGATCCAAGCTGGAAAATTGTGTTTATCTTTTGTTTTTTTTTTGTATTTTCTTTGGAAAATTGTACGAGCATGTGCTGAGCGTAAAATATTGAAATTGCTGTTTTAACAAACCACATAAAATAATGCCGCCACACTCATACGAGCACAATCTACTTGTATGAAGAGTGTAATTGAAGGTGTTGAAAACTGGTATTTAAACGTATAATCTTCATATACATGTAAACCATTTACTATATATGTATGTATGTACTCGTACCGCACAAAAATCTGGGCACAGAGGGCTGAGCAAATTATTTGCAGTTCGAAAGCTCGCTTTGCTGACTTGGCCTGCTGTGGGGACAATTTCTTTCATATATATATATAGTATATGTATAATCATCATAGGTGTTGAGCTACTTACTCGTTATTGCTGTACGGCATTGTATTTTATTTCGTGTTTTTCTCTTCTTTTTTTAATGCTTAAGTTCGACTTTTGTTGATTTTGTTTTGGTATTGATTTTGATTTCCACTCGAAATGCACACAGTTTTTGATGTTGTAGCTTCATAAATGTATCCTGCTTTTATAATATTTGATTTGATTTCATTTCATTCTGCTTTTACATATATACTTGTACGTATGTATGTGTGTATACTTGTATGTATATATGCCCTAGTTGTTGTTGATGCTACTGTTATTCTGTTTTTGTTGCTGTTGCATACATCAATATTTAAATATTTATACGCATTTGGATTTTGCAAATGAAGTGAGGACTTTGTTTATGTTTTCACACATTTTATGTGTTTTCTTTACTTTTCGCTTTCTTTTTCATTTAGGGCCCCATTGAGAGCCCTTCTTCCCTATATATTGCTGTGTCTATATGCAAATATTTATATATCTCTGTGTGTGTGTCTGTGTCTGTATGTTGGTGTTAGTGGCAATTTCATAACGCATAAATGACGTTTTGATTTTTCAAGTACATGCATCTCGCTTCATTTCATTTGAATTTGAATTTTCCTTTTTGTTCTTTGCTTAATTAGCTGCAATATTGTTGCACTTGTTGTTGTTCTTGTTGTTCAATTTGATTCGATTTCCTTTTGAATGAATCTCAATTCACTTAGTTCTCGCATCTGCTGCTATATAAAGTAATTCTTTATGCTATTCATCTCTCTTGGCATACATACAATATAGTATAGTATTGTATATACTCATATCTTCGCTAGTTCATCAGCTGCTCATTGCTTTTCATCTTCGTCGTTCATTTGTATAGCTAAATTTTTGACTAAGGCTAGAGCGTTTTGTTTGTTTACTTATAAAAACAAGGTAATATGTATTACTTTTTATTTTCTTAAAAAAAAAAACAAGAAAAAACTTTACCCATTTTTGGAGACACACACGAAAAGAACAGATTTATGCATTTTACAAATGAAACTCTTTGAGTTTGGCTTACAATTACGTTGCTCTTGCTCAACACCAATTCCACTTACAATTAAATATTTATTTACTACTTATGTAAGTAGTTGTTATTACATATGTATGTATGTTATAATGTTTGCATTTCTTCACATGACGCATTTACTCATGTATTCATAATATATATTTGTTTTGTTTCTGCTATTTACGTAGTATTTTGACTTACCGCGCTGTTTCAAAAAAATTTCTCATTACATCCTAGTTATTGCAAAAAAAAAAGAGACTTGATTACATTTTTGCATAGAAGTTAGTATGTAGGTGTATGTGTGTGACAGTGTGTGTGTTTGTGTTTCAACTATTTAGTTTGTATGTTGAATGTGGGTATCTACTCCTTGATTTTTCTGCTCATTTCCCACAGTGCATTTGCAGCAGGATCATACGAGTATGAATTCGTTTCCGGCCGAGTTTTCTTTTCGTTTTCTTTTTTTTTCTGATTTAACTTTTTTATTTACATAGAAAATTGTGCTCTACTTTAATTGTCATAACTAACTGTTCAACGCATTCGCCACACTCCATCTCCACATCATGACTATTAACGCTTCCGAGGATGATGGCGATGGTGTTGATTATCACTAACCTAGTTTGGGATTCTCTCTAGTTTAAATGCATTTCGCCACATTGAAATCATAATAAAAAGTCTTTCAAATTTAAATTCGATGTATATAAATGGAAAGTTGTAGAAATATATCAAGTGTAAGTATATAGATGGAAAGTTAAATGGGTCATATGCAGTACCGACCGAGTGTATTCCTATGGGTATGCAAAAGTATAAGGTATTGGTTTCAAGAAATCATTTACTAGCGCACAAACATATGAATGTGAATATGAATAGTTAATGCACTCACATCTGAGTGTGAGTGCTTTCTTGCAACTTGATATTCGTGTTTGTATGAATCAAGAAATAATTTACTAGCGCACAAAAATATGAATGTGAATACGAATAGTTAATGCACTCACATCTGAGTGTGAGTGCTTTCTTGAAACTTGATATTCGTGTTTGTTTGAATCAATTAATAATGATATGGAAAACCAAACACCCTCATCGCAATATTGAGTGAATCCATCAGCGCATTCATGACAACTCAATTGCATTATTGACGTACTTGCAGTGCGTAGATTAAAAGCTATTTTCGGTTATAAGCGAGTGCACTGATCCAGAAACGAATGCATTCATACCAACTACGAATTATAAAAGAGCAATTACTGAACTGAAATTGAGCAGCAATTGAAATTGGCCTGCTTACTACATTTAAATACAAAACGAATGCCCAGCATATTCAAATCAAGTGCAATATTAACAGACACTCAAATGATTCGTATTAAGCACCACACCTGCCGCCATATACCCGGCTATGCCATTTTGACGATGCTGCTGCTGCTGTTGTTGCTGTTGTGGCTGCTGTTGCTGGTGAAGATGATGGCTGTGATGATTGTGATTGTGAGTGTGACCGCCGTTGTTGGCCGGAGAGCTGGCGGCGGGTGCAATCGAGACAGTTGTTCCCGCCCCTGCGGTTGCAACACTAACAATATCGCCAGACAATGCGATTGTAGTGGCCGCGGCCGCGGTCGCGCCCGATGTGGCACTTCCATTGTCAACGACCAGGCCAACAATCCCAACAATAGGACTTCCCGACGGCTTGGGTACGCCACCGATGGGTGTGGTGGCTGTGGTGGTGGTGGTGCCGGTGCTCAGGCTGGTACCGCTGATGTGCGCGCTAATGCCGCTCGGCACACTCGACATATGCGTGGCATTGCCGGCTCCAGTCGATCCACTGGCGGCGGCGGCAGCCACAGCAGCTGCTGCCGCTGCGCTATTGGCATTGGCCGCTGTGCGGGTCAACTCCTCGTTGGGTATGGAGAAGTGACGATAGGAGATATATTCGGGTGGCATGGCCGCCTGTCGTTTGGCATTCTCGATGCGCTGCTTCTTCAGCTTCACATAGCTGAGCACTGAGATCATGACGATGAAGACTATAATGCCCAGACAGCAGCCGACAATGAGCCCCAGTCGACGCGTGAGTATGGAGTGGATGAAGCCGTTGCTCGACAGTCCGTTCTCATCGGTGATAAGGCTGGGCGTGGAGTCCAGTGTTTGGACATCAGTGCAGGCCGAGATGTGCGAGTTCTTCAGCACCTCTTGCAGCACATTGTCTGTGATGATAGTGTTCTCGATTAGCGCCTGCTGTTGCTGCTGTTCCTCCTCCCTTAGATTCTGTTGCCGCTGTCGCTGCTGTTGCTGCTGTTGCTGCTGGTGATGGTAGGGCTGATAAGGTGAGTAGGGCTCCGGGAGTAGTGGCGGCAGAGCGGCCGCCGGCAAATCGGCGGCCATGGCGACTAGGTCGTCGCGGAGCGGCACAAATGTCTCATTGAACTGATGGAGCTTCTGCAGAGCATTCGCCACGGGCTCCGAGAGCCAATTACCGGTTCCGATGACACAGATGTGATAGCGCGTGTTCGGACTGAGTTTTGTCAGCTTTGTCGAGTTGGCCGTGCCATTTAGTCGTTTGCCGTGTATCTGTGGAATAAATTAAACAAGTTTCAAAATTGTTATTGTCCTGCGCGAATGTCGACAACCGTTGTTGTAGCTTCATTGCTGTTGACGGTAACGCTAATACTAACGCTTACGTCGGCTTCAACATCAACGTCCACTTCAACGTTAGCGCCAGCGTTCGTGTCGTTTTATTAAAATTTGAACCCCGGGCAGTGCTTGTCGCTGGTTGACCAGCGCACAGTGGCCACAAACATATTTAAATAGCTCTCTCTTACATGGACTTCCCCTCTGCTGTCTACTAAGTGGGTCGAAGGTACCGAATGCTGTTCAACCGCTGCACAAATCTGTCTTGAGTGGAATCGAGGTTATTGTGAGAAACCTGGATCTAAAACTCATCAATCCAACGTCTTTTTGAACAAACATACTAATTTATTCATACATTGGGATGTTGAAAACAATTTAAACTCAATCGAGCTGAGTAAATATTCCTCTTTTTTTATTAAAGCATCTTATATTATAATTTATCTAGGTTTAAATTGTGTAATCGTCCTGAAGAGAAGTGGACTTGGCCCTATAGAATAACATACGAGCATTTGTAGTTGCTCCATAAAAAGGATTATCTAAAGCAGGGTATCCACACGCGAGCATGTTGGCCGAATTTGTTGTGCTCGACGAAATGTTCGATGTTACTGGGGATGCTCGGGTTGAATTCGAATGCTCGACGTTTTGCTCGCGTAGAATAGAAATGTTTTTCTATCTTGCGGCTGTTCGTGCCAAAAGTGTTGCCCCATCATCATTTGTAATAAATATTTGGGGAGTACACACTTGTGAAAATGAGCAAATAATTTGTGCTTGATTTTTAATAATGCTTGTACAATGAGCCGTCGTTGTGGAAAAACAAAAGCGACAATAAAGCATGTGATGTATTTTTTAAAAATATCAAGAATACATATTTAAATCGCCATTTAGACGACCGCACTTGTCAAAATTTGCTGTCAAACGATGTTCGCCAAAAAGCATTTTGAACAGTAATATGTTTAGACCATGCCTATTTTCTCTTAAGTCAATTTATTCAAAACTTGATAAGTACTTTTCAATATGTTCGTAGTCTCTTGCATAAAGAAAACTAAACCAAACCAACTAAAGAAAATGCATTCAAAACCAATTTCTAAAACCAATTTATTTACAATTAAAAATAAACTTGAAAAGTACTTTTTAAATTGGGAACAAAAATGTCAAAATTCCTATGCCATAGAAATCTATGTAGGATGCTATTAATATTGAGATGACCCTTGCCTAGTTTTTGACCACTGTACGTTGCTCTGTCGGGGCTAGGGGACGCCGCTGGTTATGGCAACGGCAAATGGTCCACATGCATGAGTTTAAAATTAAATTTGGTGAGCAGTCGTTGTTCGGTTTATCGCTGATCGAATGCCTCACTGTGGCGGCGGCTGCCAATGCGCTGGCAGCATTTTTTGGTAACGTTGATTAAGCGTTTATTAAAAGAAAATAACGAGCAGATGGGCGGACGCAAGGCACAGAGGACCAGGACAGAGGCAGACGAAAAGTGGCATGCCACGGCCATGGGTATTTACAATCAAATTATTTTCAAATTTGACACCCGCTGTCTTCTGCAACGCCACTCACATCTGCAGCCGCTCTCTCACCCTCACACTGTTACTGAACTTACCTCATCTGTGGGGGCCAGGATGGGGGCTCGTTCGGCGCTGACTCCACCGGTGCCGGTGCTGGTGCTGGTGCCGACTAAATTGTCGCCAGTCGCATGGTAAACAATTTCGAAGCCATTGAGGCCCAAGTGCTCGCGGCTCTGCCAGGAAACGACAACTGAGTAGGGCTGGATGTCCTGTATGGCCATTTTCGGTATTAATGGCGCGTCGCAAAATTGCTGCGGCTCCATGCGTCCAAACACCTTGCCGCGTAACTCTGTCGGGTGTTCGCACCTCAGATAATTAATGTTATCGCCCGACGGCGTGAGTGACCATTTGCGATGATCCCGGAGCCATTCCCAGAGCTTTTGTGCATCGCAGCTGCAATGCAGTGGATTTTCTGTATATGCATGCATGTGACAGTGTTGGTGAGTGCGGCAATTATGATGCCATTCCGTTGTTATAGTCGCCATAGCCATACCCATAGCCATATAGCCGTAGCCGTTTGTCGTTGTTTGTTGTTCATTTGTTGTCGTCGACGAGCCATGAAATCGAATGGCATGAAAAGAAGAAGAAAATATAGCATATGCATTGCATTAGTCGCAGCTCTTTCGGACGAGTATACTCGTATGTGTATATCGATAGCTCTCCGCACTACCAGTACTTTTGCCATCACTAATTGCAGTACTAAATAAAGCTGTTAAGCTATCTCGATTGCGATACCATCTGTACATGGAAAACAATCTGCTTTGAATCACCATTTACGTTTGGAAAATTGAGTTCTGTTTCATTTTCGTCCACAAATTACAAAATACAGAAATGAGTTTACTTGCTCATCCTGAAGTAGTTTTGTGGCCCAATTAGAACTCAACCCCAAATCTCTTTTTACATAGTATTTACATTTACTTTCAGTATCTTTTAATAATTTTTATGCTGCACAAAAATAAAGGAAACGTCAGGAGTCTATGCTACATGAGAACTACATATACTGTTAGGGACTTTCCAGATTAACGGACAATAATAAAGAAAACTCAATAGTAAAATTAAAAAACAATATTAAACAATGTTGAAAGAGTGGCAGCACTTTTGATAAAATCATACATACTAACGGTGAAATACCGCTACACAGATATATCGCCCATAAAACTGCCGATAACACATCAAAAGTAATCATCAGCTACACACCTCGCAACAAGAAAAATAAAGAGCTCATGAAAAACAAAATCTAAATTCAATTAGACACTAATTAACAGCTCGATCGCCCGATAAGTGGGCGGCGAAAAATTTCCGAAATACTCAAGAGTAGAATCGTGGTATATTAACCCACAAAAAATAATAATAATAGTAAGATGAGTTAACTCACCTTCCAGCTTGAGTGTGCGTATGTTTGTCTCCAGCGGTCGGAGTGGCTCGAGCGGAACCAGTTCAAAGTAATTCTTGCGCAGATCCAGGACATGCAGTTTTCGCAAATAGCGGAACGCATCGTTGGAGAGCACGGTCATACGATTGCCCATGAGGAGTAGTTCGACGAGTCCATGGAGATTGCGAAACGTCTTCTTTGAGATGCGATCCAATTGATTGAATGACAAGTCGAGTGTTTGCAACTGTGCCAAATCGGTGCTGAACTCCTCCAGATCCTTGAGCGTATTGTGCGAAATATTCAAGAGACGCAACAGCTTTAGGCCCTGCAAGCGCTCCTTGGGTAGCATTTCCAGCTCATTAACGCTAATGTCGAGGGTCAGCAGATTTGTAAGTGATTTGAAGGCACCGGGCGAGATGCGCGTAATACGATTGTTGACCAAGTGCAGATGTTGCAGGGCCTGAAATGCCTCAAAGTCCTTTGACGTCAATATGGATAGGTTGGTCTGGCAAATGTACAGCTCCTTCAGATATGGATAGCGCTCCTCCTTGACTGTGTAGATCTTATTGATGGGGTTGCCGGTTAAATTGAGCCAGGAGAGTCGAGGTATGGATACATCCGACAGTGCCGAGCTGGGAATTTGAAGGAAGCGATTACTGGACAAATCCACTCTCTGCAAGTTGATAGAGTGCCGCAAGAAGTTGGCTGGCAAGGAGAGCAGCAAATTGCCACTTAGATCCACATTGTCCAGCTGGGTTAAGTTGACGGCATTGAAACCACTCAGCGAAGTGATTTTGTTGTCCTTTAAAATCAGTTGCCGCAAATTCAGGGTGCCGCTAAGCTTGAAAAAGTCAATGGAGGTTAGCTGATTGCGGGCCAGGTCTAGGGTTTCCAACGTGCTCAAATTGTAGAGTGCAATGTGTGGGAACTCGACGAGACTGTTGCGACACAAACGCAACTCCTTGAATACGTTTAGGCCACTGAATATATTGCGATTCATTGTGGTGATTAGGTTATCGCATAGATCGATTCGTACCAGATTCGTGTTCTTCACAAACAGCTGATCGGGTATAACGCTCAAGCTACAATTGGCCATCGACAAGTGTTGCAGCGAGCGCAACTTGTCGAACATGCCAGCCATAATGCCACCCGATCCGGAACTCAAGCCCATGCCCACATGGCTGAAATTATTATGCGATAGATGCAATCGACGCAGACTGGGCACGTCCAGCTTCTGTATATCGGCCGGATTCAGATGGTTGTATTCAAAGTTCAGCTCATTCAGGTTCTGCAAAGACTTGAACGTGTGCATTTCCAGTTTACGCAACGAGGTGTTCCGCAGGTTCAGGACCGTCAACGGCAACTCGTCCATGAAGATGTCACGCGCGATTTGGGTGAGAGGATTATTGGACAGATCCAGAGTCTTCAGCTGCTTCAGCTTGTTGAACGCATAACCCTCAATTGCCTCGATGTAGTTCTGTGCCAGGTTCAGCTCCTCCAGACTCTGCAAGGCTGCGAAGTAGTCGCGTCGCAGCTGCCGCAATTTATTGCTGCTCAAGTCGAGGAACTTCAGAAGACTGAGGCTGGCGAAGGTGTCCTTCTCGATCTCCCGTATATGGTTATTGCTCAGATATAAGCGCCCAAGTTGTGCCGTGTCCACGAAGAGCGATTTGTCGATCTTCGTCAACTGGTTGTCGCGCAGCCACATGATCTGAATGCGTTGCTGCTGCCGGAACGTGCGCTGATGGATTTTGTGCAAATAGTTTGCTTCCAATTGTATGGATAGGAGCGACGAGTTGTCCGGATGGCCGTTGGGGAAGATGTCCTCCAGTACGGTAAGCTGATTGTCTTGTAAATTAATGTGCTGCATGTTGGCGAGCGTCTGAAAGGCGCCTGGCTCAATATCCTCAATATTATTCTTCTGGATGTGCAGCTCCTGGAGTGCTGGCAATGGCTCGAAGACGCCTTTTCGCACGCGCCTTATTCGATTGTTATGCAGACGCACCTCACGCAACTGGTCCAACTTGCGGAACATTCCGATTTCCAGATCCTGTATCTCATTGTTGTCCAGGGAGAGGGAGGAGAGCTTTGTGCACTTGTCGAAGAGCGTGACAGGAACCAACGGTATGAAGTTCGAGCGTAAATATAGATGATCCAGATTGAGAAGCGTGCTGAACACATTCGGATCAATGTGCGCTATGGCATTCGACTCCAGATAGATCACATCTACATTGGTCGAATTGGTGAACGCATCTGCAGGTAGTTCGAGGATATTGTTCTCGGAGAGGAAGACTTCTCGGAGTTGCGGCAAATTGGAAAATACGCCCCCAATAGCATGGATGTGATTGTGACTCAGATCGACAGTCTGCAAACGCTTGCTCTTATCAAATACCTTCGGATCCAGCGCGATGATCCGATTGTGCGACATGTCCAGTGACATTAGCTCTTTCAGGCTCTTGAAGGCCTCTGGCTGCACCAGTTCGATTTGGTTCGAGTAGAAGGAGAGCGTCTTTAGCTGCGGAAATGCCCGAAAGCAATCGTGCACGATCTCACTAAACTGATTCGAGCTGAGATCGAGAAATATAAGCGAGGGTAACTGCAGAGCCGCTGCTGCTGCTGCCGCCGCCGAGGCATTATTGGTGGCCAGCTGAATGTCGCCATAGAATGTGGAGATCTTATTGTTGGAGAGGCGTAAAATGCGCAAATGACCCAATTTACGTAACGCCATCATCGGAAATGTACGAAGTCCGTTCTCGGACAAATCGATCTCCTGTATGGACTCCTCCAGGCCAGTAAATCCATGCTGCGGAATGCTCTGAATACTATTCCCCTTTATATTGAGCTTCGACAATCGCAAACCATAGAAGCTATAATCATCGATGCGCACAATTTCGTTGTAATCAAAATCCAGGGCGGTCAGTTTTTTCAGGGACCCCAAAGCACGTGATGGCAGCTGCAAGGAAAGGAGAAAAGCAAAAAATAAATTACAGAATATAGCAAATAATCTACATAGTTTTAGGGAGACTCCAATGATTTTTCGCATCGATTCCTTATATCTTATGCTCGCTGCATTACAGTTCAAAAGCTGGAGAAAAATTGTATATTTTAGAATACTCTTCGGTTATTAAATGTCTTGATCCTTCGGGCCTTCGTTGCTCTGACACATATACTTTTATATGTATCAAATTTTGTGATTTAAGATTAATTATAAGTTATATATTTTTTTTAGGATGTATATACTAGTTCAGTGTCTGTGTATTTAACACCCAGAAGGAGGCATGACAGACCCCAAAAATGTGTTTTCTTGATCAGTAATGTAAGTTACCAGTCAACCAATAGAAGCTTTGTTGCACCATTCGTTTTTATCTTAATTTTATAAGGCGCCGAATTCAGATTATGGTGAGGCGAAATAAGAGACTCATAGATACGAAATAAAATAATATAATTCTAGCAACATCGCTGCGTACGATACGATAAGATTTAGATTTAAGTAACAAGTTAGATGTCGCTAGCTGTCGTGGCTTAAGAATTGTCTGTGTTCATCTGATCGTCCCATCATGCTGATCATATATCTATCTTTAATAATCGTTAAGCCACGGGGACCGCGTTGGATTGTTGTAAGCTTCTAAAGTCCAAGCAAGTCTATTAGCTATTGGCTGAAATCTAGCTCCAAGACTTCTAATTCCATATTTCAGATAATAAGTAAATAGGTTTAAAGTTAATTAGAAATAAAATTACCAAAGCGACTAAATTGAAGCAATTTTGGAGAGTTTAGACAAATTAGAAAACCAGTTACTTAAGTATGTTTCTTTAAAATAGAATTGCACATGTTTTAAATACATACGAAGGCATATTTATAATTATTTTTAAATTATTGCACTCTTTCTATGGCATACAAGTTTTTGCAATAAGTTAAAGTTACAGCAATAAGCTGCCATTTTGGCAGAAACCTTGAACTGAGGTCTGGTCGTTCCTACTGGAAACTATTTCTCTTTGTGGGAATCGTAACTATATTTCTAATGAACTAAGTGTACAGTAGTGGGGCGTTGTTGGGTAAATCCTTTGGCAAAATGGCGATTACAAGAAAACTTTCAACTTTCACTTTCTAGACTGCTTTACATATTCAGAGCAAAGCGCTTACAAACTAATTGGAACATTGTGGAGACAGGCTGCGGCGCGGGCAGCGTTCTGTTAACTAACAGGGGCCGCTTACCGCTGTTAACCTTGGCTGTAGTTAACAGCGTGCTGCCGCAAAAACACCGAGAAATACCTGATTATAATATTACCACTAGTAAGGGAATATATAAATATATATATGTATAATGTATACATTCTCGTACGCGGCATATGCGCTATGTGGAGCAGCTTGTGGCTTTTCTGTGTGTGTTTACTCTGATTTGCGCTAAATACGAAACCGCTTGTAAGCCACGTTTGTGCCATGTCCTGTCCAGCCAGCAAGCGTCTGAATGCCGTCTGCGTGGCCGTAATTAAGAGCACATACATATGTATGTACCTGTACATACCTGTAATTCTACCTTCATAAATGCGACTATGTAGTACCTGCATATGTTTATACATACATATGTTCAATGCGTGTGTATGAATGTGCATTAAATTAAATAAATAACTCTGTACACACAGAGAGAGAGAGAGAGAGAGAGAGAGAGAGAGAGTTCTGCACATACGTGGCGCTCATGTTGTTATACAATATTATATTTACAGTTTTTCTGTTGCCCCCTCCTCCTCATCCTCCTGCTCGTCATCGCCTGTGCATTTTTATTCTGAGCGCTTTTTGCGATTGCCTTTTGCGGCTTGCCTTTTGTTACGTTTATTTGCACACCTGTTTCATTTTGAAAAGCCGACTGACTGCCATTGAAGCGTTTAAATTGTTTTTGATGGCAATTAATTGAAAAGTCCATGCATTTTTCATCAAACTAAAATTCTGTTTAAGCAAAGTGGCTGTCTGACGCTATGAATACATGCATAAATACATACATACGTACATCTATACATATATATGTATGTACATACATACAAGTACATAGTACTTACAACGGCATTCTCGATCGTTGGCACATCAGGTGTGTTTATAAGCCACTTGCAACCCTTTTTTTTTTTGTTTTTTGGTTGTCGGCATGTTAATCCCATTTTATTATTTACAGTTGTTATTGTTGTTGTTACATATTTATAAACAACCATTGCGAATCGAATCGCGATACTATTACGAAATGAAGAGAAAAACGCGCGCCAACGCACATATGCCATGAATTCGATATTCCAGAATTCGTTTGAACTTTGAAGCTCGTTCACATTCCCACTATAAGGGGGGCTGGCAGGGCGTGAAACGGGATATGATTTCAAATACACTACTATTATCCCAAATACATACTGCATTTAAATTATTTGTGAGCGTTCTTTCAACATAAATCTTCCAATTGCTACTCGTCATCAAGTAATCAAGTATTGAATAAATACCCCTGAACTCAAATGGTGATGATGCCCGATGCATAATTCAATTTAATGTACGTGGCTTCGATGTTGCTCCAAAATATTTATTCTGAATACAAATCGCAGAGCAGAGCATGTGTTTATCTATAGTTCCTAAAGTTGAAACGATTTCACATATTTTAGGTTTCAAAGAAGGAGAAATATTATTCGTATTTATAATTCCTGCTACCAACAACAAATTGCAAAACCTTCTTAAATATTTTCGGTCCTGGAATTGACAGAAAAATAATAATAGTAAACATATTGACTTCCACATTTTTAATGACTATATGAAAATGTCAAAATATTATATCTATACATGGAAATAGGCATGGCTAACAATCTCTATCAAATCCGGGTTTGTTAAATTGGTCGTACGAGGCTTTTCCCAAAGAGCAGACACAAAAAATTAAAATTTTTATTAAATAATGCATTAAAATAATAATTTATACATATGATCAACAGAAAAACTTATACAAATTCAACTCAGTTCCATTAAAAGGCGAAATAGTGCGCCCTAATAATGCACACATTCATTATTAGTCGATTTAAGAGTGCGAAAACTTCTTTTGTTGTGTTTCCAAAGAACCAACTAAGAAGATCCACATCCTCCAGTTTTTGGTTTGTCCACAACAAGACCATATTTTATCATGGAAGCTATAGTTGGATATGCAATTCTCCCTCCTGAACTCTCTGTCTTTTAGCTTGGGTTCTTATTTGTTTAGTAGGAAGCCTATTAGTCACATGTAGGAAGTATTCGAAAAAGCGAAAGCTGATCTATTTTATCTTTGAAATACTTCTCTTCATCTATGGACGAACTCAGCGCAACTACAGTGAAACAGAACAACAACAACAACAATAAAAAAGCGCTCACAAAAACAATGGGACGGAGTAGATCTATGGGAGATTACACAAAGTAAGTCTAATGGCTATTACTTGTACCAAGAGTGCAAGAACGTTCCTTTTGTTCTGATATACAAGCTTCTTAGTTGGTAATTATTTGATTAGGTCTAGGCTTAAAACTTGTTTGTTTAGGTTGACTGCAGTGTGCTGCTCCTATCACAAGCATGTTCATGCTTGTTTGTTGTGGGAGTGCGATGCTGGCTAGCTTGTTCTATGCACATGATAAGATAAGTTGCCAGCATATGGTGCTGTGTTTCGTTTACGCCATAATACAGTCAAATGTGATAAATATCGACAGTACAGTGCAGTAAACTTCAGCAGTATGAAGCAGGATGGCACTTGATATTATCGACATATAATCCCAAAACGTTAACTAGTATTTCAACAAAAAATTCCATTGGAGGGATCAGGAGGTAATACAAGTACAACTAAAATCTGTTGACTGAAATTGAATTCTATTATAGTATTGCATACACAATAAGGTTATATTGTTTTTAGTTCATTTATTTTGCATTTAGAATCGTGGCGTTCACAGCTTGTTATGTGGCCTCTCTTTTCCTGCTCTTCTTGAAGAAAAAAACCCATAATACTTTACAAATCTTTATCTTAATTATAAGAAATAGATGCGACACAGTGGGAGACAGAATACGGACTTTCATTTTGCTCCACAGCGCGCCATTTGCATTCAATTGCTTACATATAGAGGTAGCGTTTAATAAGTAAGTCATCATTATTATCAGAGGTCTAGTCTTGGAAATATTTTCTGTAATGTGATGCTGCCCCACTTTCAATCAGGCTCGTAAGCCTAAAATATAACATGACTTTTTCTGATCGATGTACTCGGACCAATGCATATTTTTATTTTGTTTGTATATTGATTACATTTTACAAAAACTCGTTGTATAATTTGTATGGAAATGAGTTTTACAAAATTGAGATTTAGTTGTTACATGATTTAACAAGAAGTATATTGAGTGATTGATTTATTGGATGTACGTGAAATGTGTTTTGTGGCTGAGTTGGATTTATGTGATCCGAGGCTTGTCTATAACGTTCCGATTCATCGATTCATTGGCTCGCTCAACTTATGGGTTCATTGTTAGCTCGCTTGATTTGTGCCTTTGTGAAGGACTGTTGAGAGTTTTTGATAGAGCAATCAACTATCGATAACGTTATCGACCTATGGAACTATGTGAGTTGTGGGTATCGATAGGCGGAGTACGCTTCAAATGTTTAGGTGCGATGTGTTTGGTTTTTGTGTTGGTTTTGTGTAAAATTATAACTGATTGGTCATTTAATTGCGATATTTCAGGCAGAAGATTGTTCCATCTGGATCTCTGCTGATTAGTATCCACGTCCATATTGACGGTCGCGTTGACGAGAAGGCCACCTTGAGCGACGGTCACGTTGACGAGAAGGCCACCTCGAGGGACGGTCGTTGTCATCGGGTGACGAGCGACGACGATGGGAGTGACGATCTGGTGAGCGGTCGTCGCGACGTCTGTCTCCATACTGGTAGCTTGGGCGACGGATCGGCGATCGGGGCCAAGGCAGACGCAGTCT